AAATAAAAGCAAGCATCTATTTTTAAAAGGTTATACCATTTAAACAGAAAGGGAGGGAAGAAGGAGAGAGGGGGGGAGAGAGGGGGGGAGAGAGAGAGAGAGAGAGAGAGAGAGAGAGAGAGAGAGAGAGAGAGAGAGAGAGAGAGAGAGAGAGAGAGAGAGAGAGAAAGCCTCCAGGTTTCCCTTTGAGTCCCTGCTCTGGCTTCCCTTCATGATGGACTCTAATCTGTAATATGTAATAAACCCTTTCCTTCCCAAGTTGGTATGGCCAGTATTTTATTACAACAATAGAAAGCAAACTAAGATAGAAATTGGTACCAAAGAATGGTATTCTCTAAAGAACCTGATCATATTGTTTTTTGTTTTTAGAGCAATGTGGAAGACTTTGGAACTTTGGTCTAGAAAACTGGTTGAACACTGTAAGAAGAGTAGTAGCCTGGAAGACTGTAGTTCTGAGAATAATGTAGACTGTAGAGGTCAAGCAAGCTCAAGAAGTTTCATGAGGAAGCAATGATTTTGACAATTGGGCCAGAGGCCATTCATGTGATACATGAAATTAAAAAACTTTTGTACAGCAAACAAAATTCTGCTAGGGATGCGGAATTATGCAGTGAGAGTTCACCACATAGTTGAGGGGTCAGTCCATCAGAGATTGCTTATCTCTTGAAGGACATGCCTCATTTAGCAAAGCATGAGGAATATTGTCACCAGAGATGAATATCTAAACCTTATCTGAAAGAGGATGAGGAATACTGCCTTCTGAATGTGTTAAGCTGTCTCCATTGCAGACTTCCTGTGTGAAGAACTCTTTCCCCCACATTACAGCTTGGAGATTTTTCCCACAGCACAACAGTATATTAATCATTTACTGAGCACAGTTTCCCCTTTGCATTGGTATATTGATTGGATGACTCCCTTCAGCTATGCGTGATTCTGGCAAGAAAGTAATCACAGTCAATACCCTTACTCTTTCAACTAGGTCTTTATAAACTTAGAAGTCTGCCCCCCTGCAGTTATCTTCCTTGGCAGACACTTGGTCAATGTTAGTGTCCAGACAAAGAGACCTCAATTGAGACATTCACAGACACCCAAGACAAGAATTATGGCGTATCTGAAGTTGTTGAGTCATAGTTCTTAGAGAGATAGAGAACAAGAGTGTTTTACTGGCCATGAACCTACAGGGCAAATAGTAGAATATGATGGCCTGAATAAAAAAAGTCCTTCATAGGTGCGGGTATTTATAAACTTGATCCTCAGTTGTTGGTGGTATTTGGGAGGTTTAGGAGGTGTGGTCTTACTGGAGGAAGTAAATCATTGGGTATGGAACTTGAGATTGTGTACTTCCACCCCATCCTGGGTTTCCTACCACCGCCTTGCTTTGTGTCTATATTCACAGGTGTGATCTCAGCTGCTGGCTCCTACCGTGTTCCTGCTGACTTGCTCCCATGCCTCCCTGCCATGATGGACTCTCATTCCTCTGAAACCATCAGCCCAAATAAATACTTTTTTCTATCAGTTGCCTTGGTCATGGTGTTTTATCACAGCAACAGAAAAGGAACTAAGACACTTCTTTATATTTTCTTCTGTAAGTTTCAGAGTTGCAGGTCTTATACTTAGGTCTTTGATTCATCTGAAGTTGACTCACTCTGTGTATGATTATTCAGTTTTCCCATCGCCATTTGTTGAAAGTGTTAACTTTTTCTTGTGTGTGTGTGTGTGTATGTGTGTGTTTGTCATGGATCAGGTGGCTGTAGCTACATGGGATTGTGTCTGGTCTCCATTGTGTTTCACAGATTTGCATGTTGGTTTTTGTGCCAGTACCATGCACATAATGGAAATCCGGTATGGTGATACCCCAAGCAATATTCTTTTTCACTGGGGATTGCTTTGACTGCCTGATTTGTGCTCTTATAAGGATTTTAATGTATTTTATGATGATGGGATTCTGATTGCAATATTGCTTTTGGTAAGATAGCTATTTTCACAGTGTTGATTCATCCAATTAGTGATCCTGGGAAGTCTTTTCATCGTCCAGTGCCTTTTCCTTTTTTTTCCTTCAGTGTTTTAAAGTTTCCATTATTTTTCACATCTTTGGATAGGTTTAGTCCAAGGTGGTTCATTTGTTTGCTGTCTCCCAACAGGTTTCTCAGTCTGCAAGCAGACGGTGAGGGCCACCGCTGATCACAGGACAGTTGGGAGATGAGAGGGTTTGCAGCAATGAGAAGGAAGAGCTGCCCTTCGTTTCTTTGCTTTTCTGTTTTCTAACACGAGCTTCCTGAACCCTTTCTAGCAGCACAGCTTGAGGGATGATTGTGTCAAGCATTTCCTTCCCTTCATTCTTTTTTTCTTGTCCATTTCAGGATCTGAATTAGAGATCATCACTCACTGAGGACAGGCAGGCAAGGAGCATGAGAACTCAGGAGTTGGTCCTGACCACTAGATAAAGCTGGAACTGTCGTCCTGCTCTCAGAAGATGACTCGGGCGTTTGCCCATCTAAATGAGGTAGCTGTCAGTTGTGATGGATAGTCAGCCCATAAGGCAGTCTAGTGAGCCTGGCTTCCTGTTCCCCTGTGATGGTGCTCAGAGTCCTGCATCAGGACCCTAAGTGGGAGGGACATATGTCCCAGGCCTAAGGGAGAGGCAAACTTTGTGTTAGGTTTCTCCAGGGATAAGGAGGGTCTGTTTCTAGCCATCTCCTGAACATGTGTGCAGTAATTGTGTTTGTGTGCATACACAGGCATGCGTGCGTGGGGGGGGCTCACGTGCATGGGTGCGTTCATGTGTGCATGCATGTTTGTGTGTATGTTTAGAGGATGTTGCATATAGAGGAAAAATAAATGCCTGAAATATTTGCTTTTGGGGCTGCAATAGCCTCAGGTGAAGGCTATTCAACACTGAGCAGCTCTGCCTCCCGCACTTACTTCTATTTATGATGTAGCATTCCCACTTCTCTCTCTTCTAGTATCTGCTGACTTCCAGCTATGGGAGTGAAGCAGCCCCATCTCTTATAGCATTCTTAGTCTATTCCAAGGTTATTGTCAAGAGCTTATGTAGGTAGAGATTAGGGGGAGGAAGGGGGAATTAAAGAGAATAGGAGCAAACGGCATGAGAGTTAGACCTTGAGGATGAAGAAACAGCTCATTCTCGGGTTGTGAGACCCATAGGTAACAGTGACTAGAGACTCCAGCTCAGCAACAGGAAGACAGCCTGAGACTCAGCTACCGGATGCTGTGCAAGCGTCTGGAGGTTGTATGTTCCTGCCTGCCGGAGCCAGCCCTTCATTCACTTAGGGAGAGGAATCCTGCAGAAGGAGAGCGTAGGGTGGAGATGAGAAAGAGCGGGGAGCCTCGAGTCGAGGCCAGGGGGGCTGGGGCACCTGGGACCTCCCCACCCCCTCTGCATGACTGTCACTACACCACACCCCAGCTGCTTAGTCACAGAGGGCTGCGTTGTGACAACCACGTCATATTCATAGCATGGCTTTTCTGAGGATACAGTGAAACGAGTGATGTGCTGAGTACTCACCAAATGGCCCCTCTGTCATCCCAGCTGTATGAGAGCACATAATGACCCAGCAGCAGGGAGAGGATGCTGCCCCAGACAAGTGCGAAGTGTGCTTGGTGCCTCTGAGCAAGATCAGCTAATCACTGCTGCCACGATGACAGCTGCAGGGAAGTACTGGCCGCATGCCAGCAAATGTTCTTGGCATGTCCTCCTTTCCCCATGGCAAGACCCCAATGGGGCTCTTTTCCCCATTCTACAGATGAGCAAACTGAGGCTGAAGCCACTAACTTGACTTTGGACTCTGCACTGGTGGGTGGCAGAGACAGAAATTAAACCCACACTTCCGATGTTACTAGCTGTAGCTCTTGTCTACCTTGTCAGGCAAACCGACTGAGTCTCAGAGATGGACATTCTAGAGCCAAGTCCTCAGGGTGGGCAGTTGCCCCGTAGATGGCTAGGGCCAGATCCATTTGGGTCTGGATGACAGGTCTAAGTGACTGACATGCTGTGTTCAGTGGCCAGCCCCTCAGCTCTCTAGCCTATGCTGCCGCAGCTGGCCAGGACATGAGCATTAAACTTGACATCTTTGTTCACTGCCTGGTGCAACCCAGGTGTTCATGACATGTACTGCCTGGCCAGCCCCTGGCAGTCTCCCAAGTAGACATCTCTGTTGCTGACAAAAGGGACAAGCTTGTTTTCTTCAGATGCCCGTGCTCTGGGAGTTATTTACAGCTGTGCAGAACCTTCAGGCTGTGCATGGTGTGGTGGAGGGTTCACAAGGGGCAGATCTGCTCCCACCCAGAACCACACAAAGGCACATCACAGCCAGGACTCTGAGGGGGATTTCATAATACTCGCTCCATGTTACTGCCAGAGAAAACTGAAAATTGAACGGCAGTCCTTGGTTGTGAGGAAGAGTAGTGCCGGGCATCAACTCGGGCAGGTGCCCAAGTCAACTGGCACCCTAAAACAAAGGCACACTCACACACATTCCAGTGTGCCTGAGACCCAGTCAACATGGAGCAGAGCGCTCCTTTTCTATAACCAAGAGCTGCTTCCGGCACTCCAGGGCATCCCTTGGTCCCTGCATTGAAGAGATCCTTCGCTCCTCGTCCCAGTATTCCTCTTTCTCTGACTCTGTCCTTCTTTATCTCCTGGTCTCTGAGAGCTTCTGTGGCTGTGGGTCTTTATCTTTTCCTCGTGCTTTGTCTGCCTTCTTCCTCGGGTCTCAGGCATTGCCTTTCACGTTTCCATTCTCTGTCCGCTGACTTTCTCTTTGCTTTTCTATTTTATTCTGTGTCTCTCCATCTTTCCATCTGTTCCTGTCTCTGCCTTTCCCCCACCTTTGTTTCTGTCTTCCTGTGACACTCTCCTGGAAATGCTGAAAGTGGCCGAATTTGAAGTGACAAACAGCACTACAGGGAGCATCCACCCCCAGACTGCGCGATTGCGTCCTCCTCCACATCCCATCACCAAGAGCTGCTATTGTGTTTTACCCAGGCCCAGGGAGTTGAGTGGAAGGCCTGGGGGTCTGCGCTCTGACTGCTCTGCCACTTCCCCATTGGCTCCTGGCAGCCTGTGCTCTGCGAGCGAGCGCTGAGAGGGCTGAGCGACAGGGGGAGACTCTCGCCCATAAAAGGGGGGGAAAGGCTCCAGAACTGCCATTCTAAGAGGACTTGGTAGCCCTCACAGCTTCCTCTGTGGCGCTTCTCTGAGTTAGAGTCAGGGTGCCTCCTGAATCTTGGATTGGCCACCCCACCATCAGACCAGCAGAAGCTTACGGGGGACAAAGCAGTGTACAGGTAGGATCTGCCTGGAGCGCAGGCACTCTGGCTTCATGCTTCTGCTCCTGCTGCTAGGCAGAGAGACTGGTGGCAGCTTGGGCTGGGGGAAGTTAGGTTTGGTTCTGATTACTCAGCATACAAAGTCATAGTTTCAAGGCTAGTTTACAAAAGCCAGGTCTGTGAGTCCAAAGAGCTGCCCTCTCTCTAGAACCCATGCCCTGTACAACCCTGGCTTACACAGGTGCTAGCTGTGCCGCGGCTCTGCCACACAGCAGTCCCCATGTTAGTTCATGGAGTCTGGAGAGAAGGGGTAGCCTGGGTGGAAGGCCAAGAGGTTTCACTAATTAGCCTGATTTTAAGGGTCAGCATCCTCACACACTTAGAGAACTAGGGCTGGGAACATTAATGAGGTTTAGGACTCGGCGCTTGCTAACACTCCATCTGCACCACGGACGCTAGCGCAGTCTTTTTTAGTCTTTCTAATTCATGTTTAATCACTGATGAGGTGCTAATTTGCTATGATTTTACTGAGAATGGAGCCTGGGGTTGTTTTGTTGAAAGGGAAGGAGGAGAGAAAGTGAGCATGGCTGGATGGATACCCAGGCTGAGCAGGACTTCTGTCAATTTTACTTTGAAAAGACTTGTTGCTTTCATGTAAATTGCAGCCAGTTACTGCCGGAGGTGGCTGAGTTAGGCTGCAGGAAGCTCACTTTTGGAAAGGCACGGACTCTCTCATAGCAATGCCCACATCCAAAGAAATTATTAAACCCCAAAGTTTGACATCAGTACAAAACTGGCGAGCTTCCGGGAAGGCTGCGTAGACCACTACATGGTTGAGCAGTAAATTTTGTGACTTGTTACTTTTCCCTGGGTATTTTTTTTTTCTGAGAACCTCTCAAGATTTACAAGTATTCCTTAATAAAGCCTCCAAGCCCTTCGGTTATTGGATCTGGTTTCAAGTGCCCTCCCACAGACATCAAACTCTCATTATCACCCTTCCGCCAAGGGTTGGTGAAATACACACTGTTCATCTTTCTAATCTGACAGGCATTGCTGTCAAGATCTGTTGCGAAACCTTTCAGAATGTCAGTCCTTCTCTGTTCCTCCTCATGGGGGCTTCCTCCCACGCACGCACTCACCTTCCTCCCCTGCTCTCCTCACCAGTGCTCCATTCCCCACCTGTCTTTGTTCTGTCTTTGCAGGTCATTCATCTCCAGGCTTTGAGATCTGCGTGGGGGAACCCCTTGAGGCAGCTACAGCGGGGTGAGTTATGGTGCTGGCGTATGGTGCGTGCGTGCGTGCGTGCGTGTGTGTGTGTGTGTGTGTGTGTGTGTGTGTGTGTGTGTGTGAATTTACTGACACAGTCTGAGCCCTTTGCTTTGTCCTCACTGTGTTAAGTGTGCTGGGTGGCAGGTGGAGTAGCTGGCATCTGGGAGTGTGGTATCACAGCGGTTCCTCAGACGCTGTGTGGTAGGCCCCACTGTTTCACTGCAGTGGCCTGATGGATCGGTTGGCTCTAGATTGCTTGAGAAAGCCCATGGAAGGCTGTCATAACTTGCAGGAGTCCCTGTGCATTACTTCAAGAATTTTCCATGCAACATCTAAGAGTGTGTGACCACACCTGAGCCTATGCTGAGTTCAAACCCCATATCCATCCTTTATTTGCTGTATAATTTTGCAACAATTGCTTTCCCTTTCTGATGCAATGAAGATAATAACAAAATCCTTTCCTTCACACCATCGTGAGGCTCCTATGGGAGGTTATAAGCACCTAGCATTTGGTAGGTACTCAGTAAATGCTACTATGGTCACCTCTCCACTGATTCAAAATGGCTGGCTTCAAAATCCCCCCCCCCATATGACGTCTACAGTAATCCATTCCATGCTTCTGTGTGCTCTTCCAGGAAAGTATGACTAAAAGTCAAATATCTCTGGGGTCAGTGTTCCTCTCCTCACTCCTACAGATGACTGAATTTCTTTATCTGCCCTCCCCCTGACAATGAAATCCCTCCCTGACATCTCATCCCAGCTCCGGGTACCCTGGCATAACTTTTCTATTTGCCAGATGTCACCCTCATTCTTCGAGGGATCAGTGGTTGCTGGTTTGGCTTTAATGCATATCTGAGGAAGTGTGGCCAGCAGGTGATTTCCATCACCGGTTTGCTCATCTCAGACTGGCAGATTTTAGTGGGTCTGATGAGGTGCTGAAACAACAGAGACAGAGCTGAGCACAGTAGGAAGAGATACAGACTGAGCTACGTCTCCAAGTCGTTGCCAACTCAGCCCTACTCCACACCTCCACCAGAGCTCGTAGCCACGCCTGAGGCGGGGACAGGCTCAGTTTTCTCCTCATCCTACCCCATTTGCCCCCCTGGCCAGGATGCTTGGCCACTAGTTGCAGATGTACTCACCAGAGGTAATATGTCCACAGTGGCTTCTTCTCCGGTCTTATTCCTGCAAAATTCAATTTAACTTGATAAGGGTTTCCTGAGCTGTTACTGTGTAGCTCAATAGGCAGATTCAGGGAGAAGCAGAAGAGGATGTTGGTATTTACCTCATTTTCCTTGCTTCTTCTCTGCCCCTCTCCTCTTTCCCATTCACCCTGCCCCTGCATCTACACTGTCACCCACCCACCCGTGTCCCTTTTCTCTGACTTCATCTCTCTCCCTGACTTCTCATTTTCCTTTTTTTTCTTTCTCCTTATTGTGAAAGAGTACCAAATGACAATAAAGGAGATTCCATTACAAATCTGACAGCAGAGAAGGATCGCTTTAAAAGTGCAGCTAATGATATCTCTGAGACCATGACCATTGTAGTCTGGATGCAGGACCCTTATTTCTGACTGTCTCTGTGCAGCAAATGTGATGACCTTTGGGTTAGGCCTGGTCCTGTGTCCACGCTTTGATACTCGCTGAACAAAAGATTGGCTCATTTTCTCTCAGGACCAAAGCCATTCTGCAGACTGATTGCCTATCCTCTATTAGTGGGCATTTCTCAACAAGGAGCACCCTCAAGTTTCAGAGCCTTCCTTTGACAGCCCCTTGGGAACCCACAAAAATGAACTTGCTGTTTCCCAGTAAGGTAAAAAGTCCTAAAATGATTTTATCTTCAGCAGTGTGTGAAAGTCTGGGAATAGCCACAGAACATGCCATGTGCCCGTACACCTCTGGATAGTTTGTGCAGTCAGTGGATTAACTCTGTACCTAGTTTCCATCTCTCCGAGTCACTGTATTCCCATCTAGGAAGTGGGGCTGATTGTGGCGGATCACTGATGCAGGTAACTCATATGAAAGATATAAAGCATTGGGCCTCCCGGTGGGGGATGCTGTGAATTCCAGCCCTGCCACCAGGGCTTGCTGCTTCTGTCTTCAGTGTACTGGGAGCCTGCTTCGAGGGGCCATCTGGAGGCATCTGGTACAGCAGTGGCTTACACAGTCTTTGGCAGATTCCAGGGTGGTTGTCACTGGAGGGTCACAGAAACATTGCCATGTGTCAAGGTGGGTGTGAGAGTCGGAGCTCTCCTGACTCACTGTGTGACCTTAAGCAAGTGACTTCATTCTTACCTTTTCCCATTTCCTCTTCCTCCAAATAGGAATAATCATATGCATACATTGCTTCCAGAGATAATTGTGACGTTAAATCATGCCATTATTATTCCTCCCTGGCTTTTCAAATAAAAACACTTGCTGTCTCTGGAGCCCTGGCTGGCTACAGTAGAAATATCTCTGAGCTAGGTAGAGGGCAATAATCAATCAAAACAAAACCAACTCTTTCAAGGAACTCTGGATCAAGAGGGGAAAGAGTTCCTACTGTGTGCTGGTCCTTTAACAGATGCTGTCTACAGAGTTCCTACTGTATGATGACCCTTTAACAAGAGGGGGGAAAGAGTTCCTACTGTGTGATGGTCCTTTAACAGACACTATCTATGGAAGCCCATGGAGAGAGGGTGCTGGGGGCTGTATGATGAACCCATGGTTTTACCTCTCAAGCAATATTAAAGTCCCAGGTGAGTTGTGACTTTTAACATATTTTGCCACCAGAATCCAGAACTTGTGGGGTGCAGGACACTATCTGCCTCTACTGCAATAAACTCACTTGGTCTCTTGCCAGGAGATGGCTACATTGCTATTAGATAATATGTTCACATGTTTGGAGACCCAGGAAAATGAGCTGAAGCCTATTAGATTCATATAAGTCAATGAGGCAGGACCAGCACACTTCCTTGGTAAAAAGTCAGATAGTAAACACCTTTGGCTTTGTGAACCACTGAGTTTCTGCTTCAGTAGTTAATGATGCTGTTGTGGCATGTAAACAGCTGTGGACAGCTGTCAGTGGTGCTGGGGTTCTCCAGAAAGATGGAACCCATAGAAACCATAGAACATATCTGTGAAAGGGAAGACAAGATTTGACCATGTGATTATGGTGTAGGGTATGTCCAGATCACCCTTTTCTGTATGTTAGGGTAGGCATACCCCTTGTCTCCACCTGTCTTCCCCCTCCACCCTCGGGCTGTTACATGTGCCTTTAGTGTGGCCAAGGACACATGTCATGAAGTGCACATGGGAGGGTTCCAGCCTACGTTCCTTTGGGTCACTCAGTGAGCTCACCTAATGCTTGCCTTTCTAGTTCTCAACCCATTGGAGGCCAAAACTGCTTTTCTTCTTCATTTACTCAGATGGAAATGGTACGCAGTAGGTCTAACTTCCAAGTTCTGTCCATCATAGACATCATAGACAGATCCCCAGTGAAGAGTTGGAAATCTCCCAGACCCACCCTAACAGGGGAGCCACCTGATATTGCCCAGTAATTTATCTTTTTTTTTTTTTTCGAGACAGGGTTTCTTTGTGGCTTTGGAGGCTGTCCTGGAACTAGCTCTTGTAGACCAGGCTGGCCTCAAACTCACAGAGATCCGCCTGCCTCTGCCTCCCAAGTGCTGGGATTAAAGGTGTGCGCCACCAACGCCCGGCTTAGTAATTTATCTTTTAAAGGAGTCAAAATAAAACAAAACAAAACAAGAAAATGACAGCTCTCATCTTAAAGGGAATAAGAGATAGTTTATTCTGGAGCCATTTAAGTGACCATGGCCTGGGAACACAGATGGAAATTCCATGCTCCGATGTGGAAGCAGTTCTGTGATGATTTATAGTTTTACAGAACAAAGAGAGTCATAAGTCAAAGCAAGTTTAAAATACGCTGGTGGGTCATCAGAGGTGGGTACAGGGGATGGGGGAAGCCTTCCTAGAGGCCTAAGACGCCACCTGATGACATTCTTAGCTTTGGGTTGGAAGCCAGTGCATCTGCTAAGACAATAAAGGTTTGTATCTATTAGTTACAGGATGTTATGTCTGACACAGATGTGGGCAAGGTTGGGTGTTCTGCAGGCTAAAGACAGCCCAAGATGAGGTGACTGACTGGCCTCTGTACCTGTAATGGACCAATCTCTCCATGGTTTTGGACTTCTAATCAGCTCCTTAGTCTCTGTAAATTCAGCTTTTCTTGGGGAGTTTGTGTTCACAAAGAACAGGGAAGAAGATGGAGGCGGGGGTCTCAAGACCAGGGTAGAAAGCCAAACTCAACCTCAGGGATTGACAAGCAACGCCCCTTCTATAAAAGCATTTCAGAATATGACCTGTAGGGATTCTGAGTTAATGTGCATATGCTTGTTACACTGTAGGCTCTTGGGAGGTAGAAGCTGTCATAGGAACCATATGATCATGAGGGGCGCCAGCTCTCCCTCCCACATGCCAGGCCCCCATGTAGGGCAGAGAACGTATTCAGCCACATGTTGGTTCTACATTCTTTTTCTCCTCTTTTCCCTCCCCTCGTATCCTATAGAAGACCAGACCATCCCTTCATACTTTCTTATCAAAACTGCCTGATGTGTGCCAGGCATAGACTTAGTGCGCCTACATGGTCTCTTGTTTGGATGCTAAACAACCCCAAAGCTCTTTGTTATTAGTCCCACTGTATATTGAAGAAAATCAACTTTCTACAAGTGGCGGTAAGTGGCTATCTGGAATCTACACTCTCCTTACTAAGTAGACTCAGTGGTCCTGCAGTCAGGACAGGCAGGATTGGAGGGATCGCCTTTCTCAAAACCATCCTAACCCTCTCACCTCAAGCTGCTTCTCTAAGTTGTTTGACTGGGCCATCCAAGTGTGATAGATACAAATGTCTATTAGGTGCTCAGCAGGGACAGCAGGAACTGGTCTATGTGTGTGTCTCCCTCACGACTAGGGCCAAAGTAAGATGTAAGTCCAATGTCTTAAAGGCTTTTGACTTTTTTTCCAAACAAGTTGGAAATCAAGCTTTTTTCCCCTCTTGGAAAACTCCCAGTTTTAAAATGTCTGTTTATTCACTCAACAAACTTGTATAGAGCTCCTGGTCTCATTTGAACCCTGGATGAAGCTCTGGGAACAATTCATCATCTGTCATTCATCCATTCATCTGTTCAACTACTTATCCATCCATCCATGCATGCATACTTCCATTCATTCACGCATCCATTCATGCATGCATGCATGCATGCATGCATGCATCCATCCATCCATCCATCCATCCATCCATCCATTCATGCATCTATCAAACAAACTTCTCTGGTCCTCTCATGACATTTCAAACAAATGCAAACTATAGCTAGGTCCATCAGGCTGACATGAACTTACCTACACCCTTCTTGGCATTTAGTACTCCAGTTTCTCTTTTATGTATTTTTCTCAACTATGGTCAAGCTCACCACACATATTCATACTGCAGGAACTATGCATTTCCAAAGTTTCCTCCTGTGCCAGTCTCAGACAGTTAGATGTAATTATGTGCTAGGACTAGCATGGGTAACTGCAGGAGCTCCAAGGAGGGATCATGTCAAGACAGACTTCCTGGAGGTGATTCCTGAGGCTGAATTCTAAAGAATGAGTGAGAATTAGCGGGTCAAAGGTAACAGGAATGGGTGCCAGGTGTTGGGGCAGAGGGAACTCTATATACAAGGGTTGAGAATACCATGCATGGGACCTTGGTTGTGGAGTTGAGGAAAAATATTGGTTTCAGCCTTATGGGGTTATCTTGAGGACTCCCTCACATTAAGCTATGTATGGGGATGGGGACACAGACAGGCATACAGTGTACACTTGGCAAATGCAAGCTCTCTGTGTTGGGAAGGCTGCTAGGTTTGGGCAGAAGGGTCAGACCTCTGGAAGATATTACCGAGCACAAGAGACTGGAACAAAGCTGGGTGAGATGGGAATGTCCAGAGAGTCCTCCGGCTACCATGGAGATGTGTCTGGGGTACCAGCTTTCTATAGAGAGGTCTAAATTGGGTCCATTTTAGAATACACTGCTATGGGAAGTCTCCCAGTAGGTGTGAGAGACTGACACAGGCTCACCATTGGTTTAATTTGCTCAAGTATTATAACAGGCCAGGTCAGCTGTCATTAGTATAAGAAAAACAAAAGCAAAACACACACACACACACACACACACACACACACACACACACACACACACCAAAACCAAAATCCCAAAACTGCCGACCATTTATTTTGTCTGCATGTAAATGGAACATTCACTTGCCCAGACTTCTGATGTTTCTCCTCTGATAGAGCAGGAGAGAAACCTCAGGGGCGCAGAGATGCACAAGCTACATGAATACAGTTCTCTGAGTTTGCTACTCTGTGCTCCCTGCACCAGCAGCACTTGAGTCCGGTCTCGGGAGAAGCACCTGGACCTGCATTCTAGCCTACAGTTGCATGTAACCTCAGACAAATTACCCAGTCCCGGAGCACCAGTTTTCACATCTCTAAAGTGGGCAATCATGCCCACCTCTCAGCTTGTGGGTAGGGTAAGCTTGGAGTAGAGTCAATGCTCTGTGAATTGTTGCTGGGACTCATAGAAGACTTAGCTGCTGGTGACTCAAACCTGTTCTAGAAACTGCAGTTATTAGGTGGAGAGAATCCACAGAGGGGGCTCTGCACTACAGCTTTCTTCACTGCCCAGGGCGGGATGTGGGCAGCTCCCTGCAGGAGAAGTGCCCTCATAGTGACCCTGCAGGAGAAGTGCCCTCATAGTGACCCTGCAGGAGAAGTGCCCTCATAGTGACCCTGCAGGAGAAGTGCCCTCATAGTGACTTAGGGCAGTGCAAGCTCAATGACGGCAACAGAGACAATGGTTAGGAAGGTTGGGGAGCCTACTGTGTGCTTTGAGAGAGGAGAGCTGTTCCGGGGTGTATTCCTGGGTTTGGTCTCATGGGTGGGTGAATCTTCGAAGCCCCCAAACGTCAGAAGACAAAGAGCAGTTTGCAGGAGGGAAGGAAGGCAGACAGTCTCTTGTAGGTTAGGATGTCTAGGCAGGAAAGAGAGTATCAGAAAAAGGTCAGTGCATTCGAGAACTAATGTTCTAGTTGGGGAAATGGTAAAGGCAGGTAACTCAGCTAGTGTGAGCCTGTCTGGCTCTGTGACGTTTAGTTTATTTCATGCAGAAAAGCAGTCTTATGAAAACCTGAGGTCAGAATACTTCAGACAGAGGAAGAGAAAGCACAAGGGTCCCGAGGCAGGAACAAGATTAGCCCATGTGAGGCCCAGAAGCAAGCACTGCAGAGAGGACAAGAGACTGTCTCTGTTCCGAGAGCACGTATTCACACCCCACATGTCTGGAGGGACAGAGACGGTCTCTGTTCCGAGAGCGTGTATTCACACCCCACATGTCTGGAGGGGCAGAGACTGTCTCTGTTCCGAGAGTGTGTATTCACACCGCACAAATGTCTGGAGGACAGAGACGGTCTCTGTTCCGAGAGCACGTATTCACACCGCACAAATGTCTGGAGGGACAGAGACGGTCTCTGTTCTGAGAGTATGTATTCACGTCCCACAAATGTCTGGAGGGACAGAGACTGTCTCTGTTCCGAGAGCGTGTATTCACGCCCCACAAATGTCTGGAGGGGCAGAGACTGTATCTGTTCCGAGAGTATGTATTCACACTGCACAAATGTCTGGAGGGACAGAGCGCTTGCACAGCTAGTTAGGGGGTGGACTGTTGTGATGGAAAAGGTACAATTTACTGGAGGTGAGGCCTAATCAAGGACACGAGGAGAGGAAAGGTTCTTCAGGAAGAGGAAGCATCATGCACAAGGCCAAGAGGTGACAAAGTAGATTCCAGACTTGACTGCTGGGGTTGAGATGGGGCCAGACAGAGAGGGTCTGACAATGAGGCCTCATGGCACTTAGTGGCTGCCATCTCAGAGCTAATACGCTGAGAAGGGTATTTCATGCTCCGATCACAGAAGCCAAGGAAGGGGCCAGTGTGGAGAGGGGTGAGAGTGAAGCCCTGGTCAAAGCCAGGAGCCGTGCTGAAGTGAGAAAGACGAGCGCCAGAGAACGGGCAAACCCAGAAAGATCAGCAGTGTAAGTCAGTCCTACCATGCTCGTCCACCATGTGTGAGGCCCTTGGTTCTATCCCCAGTACCAGAGAGGGAGGGAGAGAGAGATAAAGAGAGGCAGAGACAAAGAGAGAGAAACAGAGAGAAGAGTGAGAGAGATAAAGAGAGACAAAGACAGGCAGAGAAAGAGAGAGACAGAGAGACAAAGATAGGACAGAGAGACAGAGACAGAGAGATAGAGAGGAGAGAGAGAGACAGAGGGGGAAAAGAGGAAAAGGAGAGAGAGAGAGAGAGAGAGAGAGAGAGAGAGAGAGAGAGAGAGAGAGAGAGAGAGAGAGAGAGAGAGAGAGAGGAGAGCACACTCCAGCTTGGGGACGTAGAACACAGAGACATACCTTAGTCGAATGACTTGAAGTTGGACAGACCTGATCAAGCCCTGACTTCCTAGCTTCCCAGTCATGGGGAACAATTTTCCTGTGACTCGGCTCCTCCACTTGTCAAGTGAAAACCACAGCCTAACCTGCCTGGCAGAGCTGCTCCATGCATTGTGAACAGAGAGAAGATCCCAGTACGCAGTGATCACTCTGCTCTCAGTCCCTCCTCACTCCCTGGCCTTGACTCCCACTTTACCTCCCCAGCTTCTGTGTCCTTGACTACAGAAATGGAAGGAGAAAAGCCTGCCTGTGCTGCTCTAACAGCAGATGTAAGAGATACGTCCTTGTCAGTCAGGACAACTTCACCATCTTGTCCTTCTCCCTCTCTAGCAGAAGAGAGACAGAATGGCGTGCTTCGCACTGATGCTGGCCGCTTGCCTCCTCGTGGTGGTACCCTCCAACGACGCAGCCGATTGCCTGTCCCTGTGCTCTCTGTGTGCAGTGAGGACTCAGGATGTGCCCCATCCCATCAACCCCCTGGTAAGTCTCAGCAAGTCTTCTCCATACCATTCTATTTGTGGGTAGAGAGCAGAGAAGGGAGGCGTTATATCTGGACAGGCAAGTCAGCTGTATCTACTGTATCAGTGCACGGCTTCTCCTGCCCTCCAGACAGCAGGGAACCAGAGTCTGCTGCTGTCTAGTTCCCACTGCAGTCTAGACTTCATCATCATGGCTCTCCCAGGCCTGCACACAGACCACATTTCCAGGCAGCCAAGTGCCTGGCAACAGGGTGTAGACCTTGAGTTGCTCACCATGCTGTCTGCAGCACTGGGTACACATTCCAAGGCTTCTTTTCCTGGCTGATAGCATCTCCAAATTCAGTCTCTTGACCTAGTCTCTCAACATCAACCCTGTCAAGATCCTCTTGGTGAGCTTGGAGCCTCTGCCCCTCTCTGGGGCCTGAGACTCTATGCCTGGTCTGTTGATGCTGCTTTGGGTCATGGTGTCCCACATGCCTCTCCCAGCACTGCAGAAGCACAGCAAGCAGTGTCGACTGAGCTGTGGCTTTGATTCTGGCTCTTCCTAGCTCCCTTCCTCGGAAACTGTTCTCTGAGTCTCACTTTCCTCATCTACTGAAAGAGAGCAATTCCCTGAGCTCATGATGATAAGTGTTTGACATCTGAGTCTAGTCTGTATCCACTGAGCTGTACTCAGTGTGGCCTGCTCACCCGCAGGAAGGCGATTGGCAAAGTACAGGGACTCCAGCCGCAGACTTTCAGAATTCAAGTTCCAGCATTGCTCACTGCCGTTAGTATCATTATAGTCAAGGTGATTGACCACTCCCTACCACACCGGGAAGCCGATCCTATGGTCCCTCTAACAGGTACCCTCAGGTGTGCTGAGCCCTCCAATTCCCTATGTGCATTCTTCCCGTTGTTCTGAAGCTCTCTGTCTGTCTCTCAAGTGTTAGCAGCGCCTCCACTCCTGGTAGAGCAACTGTACCCTTTGGAAGAGGGAAAGCATGTGTGTAGGCCAATAGGAACATCTTGCTTCTACTTTTGGCATTTCCACCTGTATCTCTTGTGCCTCTGGGATAAGTCTGATTTCACATCTCTCACGTGATGAAAGTCATTTGGTGACATTACTACTGTGCTCCTTGGGATCCTTTCAGATTTGCTCCCTGGAGTGCCAGGACCTGGTGCCACCGTCAGAGGAGTGGGAGAGATGCCAGCGCTTTTTGTCCTTTCTTGCCCCCTCTGCCTCTGGGCTCCGTGGCAAGAATGACCTGGGGAACGAGGTTGCTTTGGGAAAAGGCTACAATGCGCTGACCGAGTTTTTGGAGCCCCTCCTGAAGGAGCTGGAGAAAAGCCGAATCCTCAGCAGAGTCTCAGAGGAAAACCTCAGGGGTCTCTCTGGCAGGTTTGGGGATGGAAAGGAGTCTGAGCTGGTGGGTGCTGACTGGATGAACGATGGAGCCACGCAGGCTGACACACTGCATTTCAACGAGGAGGACTTGAGGAAACAGGCCAAACGCTATGGCGGCTTTTTGCGCAAATACCCCAAGAGGAGCTCAGAGATGGCTGGGGACGAGGATGGGGGCCAGGATGGGGATCCCGTAGCGCACGAGGACCTGTACAAGCGCTATGGGGGCTTCTTGCGGCGCATTCGCCCCAAGCTGAAGTGGGACAACCAGAAGCGCTATGGCGGCTTCCTTCGGCGTCAGTTCAAGGTGGTGACTCGGTCCCAGGAGAACCCCAATACCTACTCTGAAGATCTAGATGTTTGATGCAGAACACTTCCCCACCATGGAGTTAGGTTAGCAGTTTCCCCCGCCCCAGACCTCTTCCTGTACTAGCAGCCGCTTCTGCAGCCTCTTGGGCGTGTCCCACTCCTTGCTCCATTCAGCACCCAGAGGAAACCGTCTAAGCCCAGCCCAGCCCTGCTTTGCCTAGGAGTGCAGGATTTGTTTGGAGTCAGTGATAGAGAAGAGTGGTCCCTTGCCAATAGGCCCAGTGTCTGGCTCAAACCCTTAGACCTCTAAACTACCACTATCAGTGGTAGCTTTTTGACATCAGCCCAACCACTCTGTCCCTGTGCCACCACCACCACAGAATCCAGAGAGATTTGTTCTTTGTTCCTGTAGATCTGTGATCCCCAAACTTCACTGATCATGTGCTCCTCTCGAGGAAAAATGAGCACTCCCTGATAGTATGAATGCATGAGACAGAGCAGAAACTTAAGATACACGCAAATAGAAATCCTAGCTGTATTCTCGGTCAGGAGCTCATTTTATGCACCCTGCTGTGGAGGCCACAGGCAAATGGAAAGCCTTTTCGGGGCGGGCAGTGATTATGACCCCAGAGAGGCCAGGCCTCTAGCACGCTCAATGTTCAGTCTGAGCACCCAGAGTTCTCATGCTTTCAAATGTGTCCCTGGAAAAGCCCCACTCCTAGACCCTGTGTTAGTTAGGGTGGTGCCTTTCCTGCAGGAGTGAAAGCCCCTTGCTCATGATGACAAGCCATGAGCTTCTAAAGGCTGAAGCGCTAAGAGGGGAGCAAGGCAAACCAATTTGCTCTGTGCAACAAATTCAGAATTTGGGCCAGTTCCCACAGCCCTCGTTAAAAACGATCAGTATCACACTTCCACCCCATGAGGAACTGAGTCTGAGTGGAGCCGAGGCAGCTAAGCACAGCTGTGTTCTTCAGTAGTTGAGTTGGCTGTGGGAGCCAGAGCCATTTGGCCCAGCTTCTGAACTGGCACTGGGAAAGGGGATCCAGAAGCCGCAGCAGAAGGAGGGTCTGTCCCACCACAACACTGCAGCCAGCCTTATTCTCTGTGTCTCCAAATAAAAGCAGAGAGTGGAAAGCAATCTAGTGTTCAAGACTCACTGGATTCCCTTGATTCAGATAACCCAGATGAGAGGCAAAGTCCTCTGGTTTCAGATCTCCCCATCTCCAGACAGATGTTGATAGTGATAAGTTAGGGACTTGAGGCTGGTGGGAGAGGAAATAGACTGGATTTGCATATTTGCATAAGATGTCTTTAGTGGTCCCATTCCAGGCATAGGCCATAACCTGTAGAGCTCTTCATGTGTTCAGAAATCTGTGGATTGTTTTAGGATGACTTTGTGTGCTGCTTAAAAACCACATTTGTCCAACTTACTTGGAATATGTGAGTTCTTAATAAGCCTGTGTAATTTCCTGCTTCTCTGGTATAATAAATAAAGTTATGCTGATGACTTGGTGTATTTGCATGAATAGTAGTCTCCAGAGAAGGTGTACTGAATTATACATGCATATATGATATTTTACATACCCACATAAACACACACACACACACACACACACACTCACAGTTGTATTGGAGGATTGAACCTGGTGCCTCATGCAGGATATGCAAACATCTACCACTAAGCTATAACTCCAGCCCCTGTAGTCATATAATAAAACAAAGAATGGAATAACATAAAATAAGAAAGTGAGTGTGCCACAGGCTCAAGTCTGTATATTGAGTCTGTGTGACTTTAGGTAAGTCATTAGCCTCTCTGGGCCGGCCTTTGCTGTTTTTCTGGCTGCTTGGCAGCCACACCTGAATCTACTACTATTTTAACTACTGTCTGTGCTCTGAGGCCTGCAGTTAGCACCCAGCTTCCCAGACTGCAGCCTGGCACGATTTCTGATCCCACCAGCACTGGCTTGGTTGTAGATGCCAAATGTAATTTTTAAAAATTTATTTAACTTTATTTTATGTGCATAGCATCAGATCCCCTGGAACTGAAGTACAGGCAGTTGTGAGCTTCTATGTGGGTTCTGGGAATTGAACCTAGGTTCTCTGGAAGAGCAGTCAGTTTATCTAAGTTGTTCTATTTACCAATAAAGACTTGGGAGTCAGATGTTGGGGTGAAATCCTGCTAGATCAGAGAAGCCGAGAAGCAATCAGCTGACCTTCTTTATCAGCTGTTGACCCAGAGAGAGAGAGAGAGAGAGAGAGAGAGAAAGAGAGAGAGAGAGAGAGAGAGAGAGAGAGAGAGAGAGAGAGAGAGAGACCAAGAATCCCTAAGTCCCTCCCTACTCCCTATTCCTTCTGTGTCTTTCTATCCATACTACTGGGTCCTCCATACTCTCTATAGCTAATTCTTGTCAACTAACAGTCAGTTCTGCCCCCTGATCCAAGGTTAATTTTACTAACACAGAATTAGTTTCACAATGCCATCAAATATCCTGCAACACTTCTTGTTTATATAAAATAAAAACTAATAGGACCTTGTTTACAATGTGGCTGAGCAGATCAGATGAGATCATATATAGAAAGGTCCCAGCGCTTAATAGGTTTAGTAAGTGAGAGTTTCTTTCCCTGTGTGGTCTTAGGAACAATGGGAAAGATGGGCATTCAGCAACAGAGCAGGGAGGTCAGAAAGAGGTACTGCACTCCCAGGGGCTACTTCCTGTGCTGGGGAACTGGGGCAAGCCACAGAGAAGTTCCTAGCAAGAATACATGCACTAGTGGCAAACATACACCTCCCTCTGCTAAGTTGGCATCCTTCATTGAATGGTGCAGATGAAGTGTCTTTAAGTAGGGTGTGTCAGTGATACACCGTTGATATCACCATCAGTGATAGCTGTTGATGTGGGCTCTATTGGAACACTTACTTTTGGAGTGACTTCACAGAATGCACGGGGCCAGGGGTGTGACACTCATTCTCTAGTCATTTAATAAGGTACTAACTGAAGGCCTACTGTGTTTGGAAGATCTGCTGTGGAATGGAAATGTTCTCTGTTGTAGAAATCCAACTTTTGAAACCGAACTCAGAGAGCTCAGCTTTAGTCATGATTTTGCTAGTAGGCAATGTACCAGATTTACACACTCTTTGTGTAAGTCTGGTCCCATCCTGCAGTTTCTTACAGCTTTTATAGTGTGAGCTGAGAGTATTGAACTCTCCAACCATCTGAGGGTGCTCTCTGGGTCCTGTGACCACCAGTAGAGAGTGTCTACAGTAGTCTGAGCATGTCTTGGACTACATGGTCATTGACATGTGACATGGGCATTGCTGGGAGGTGTTAAGACATTCTTGCTCTAGGAAACAGGATTTTGATGTTTAATTGGACAGCTGAGTCAACAGTTTCTTAAGGCAGATTTAAAGGCATTTGCTTTTCCCAAGATAAGAGGAAGGGGATTCAACCTAAACAAGCGGGAGCACAAAGAGCAGAACTCAGGAAAAATTGACTCATTCTGTCCCTGCTGAGCCTGTAGCTCTCAGGAAGAAACTATTAAGGTGTAACAGTGCACAGTAGCAGCTAGACTATGTTAGGTACCTATGATACTGAATGTTTAGGATATATATTCCTTTTTCCTCTTTCAATGGGTTACAGGATCAACAAGTAAGCAAAAATATGAATCTAAAGTTAAAAATAGTCATAGCTGCTATAAAAAATTGGGATACAGACTTGAAGGGCAGTAAGTATTTTCAGAAAATCCTTTTCTTAGGGATATTTCTTTTTTGGTAGTCATGGGAAAGAGAAGTCAGAAGGAGTCTACACTTTGAATTCATTCTCTCCAGTCACACCCAGGTCCAAAGCAGACACTTGCATCTGCATGAACACATTTGTAGACTGACACTACACAGCATTGTCCTCTGCTTCGATGGGTCAGAGTATCATCTCTACTATTTTGATCGACTGGGTCCTGATCCTACTGTCTGTCAGCCTGGAGTATTCTCTGGGGAAGACTTTCAAACAAATGGCTTATGACTACCTCAGATGGGTAAAGGCAGATGATTTGTTGGCTTATATGATACAAATACTAGAAGGATTTGCTTCAGGTAGAGCTGGAACAAGGGCCTCTAAGGACCTGTCTATCAGTAGGCTCCATGTATTTTTCCAGTGGCTTCCAGAAGTTTCATACCTCAACATGCAGGTATCTGTTCTACATATTATTTCCATAATAATCCTAGCCAATGCTGTATTATACCTCTTTATCAACATTTGGGTCTTGTGAGCAATAATGAGCTAATTCGAGCCATCACAGATAGGTTCATGTGGTGCTCTGCTTGGTCACAACATGAACATCAGGGAGACAGGGGATCCAACCTCATGCAAAGTAAGGGAAAGGAAGGAGGCGGTCATGGGGGGAGAAGAAAACTGGAGCACAATTCCCTGCAGGTAGGGAATGTGCCAGGCCACAACAGCAGCGAATAACTCTCCAGGGAGTGGAGGGGTTGGTGGGAACAGGGAAGCTGGCAGGCAGATGCTTCGGGAGGCGTGCAAGAGACTGCAGACATCTGGCTCTACAAGACGGCTCGCAGTTGGAGCTAAGTGATTATAAAGTAGGATTACAATATGCACAACCGTGTGTTTGACACCAGCCATCATTCTCTCACCACTTTATGATTTCTTTTCTTTCAAATTTTTTAAAACTGAGAAACAGCTCTTGAAGTTTTCCTGTACATTGTGGATTCCAGTGTTCTGGTTTCCCTTTTCTAGTTTATTTTCATGGTCACCAAGAGGCATGCCTGTGAGGGGTAGACAACCCAGCTCCAGGGGCACAGAGTACTGGGCTGAGATTTCCAATCTCATGAGTGGAGAGGGGAATACTGACTACCGGTCAGAGGAGAAAGTTCTGGGGTATCAAGTAAGTCACAGGACACATAACTGCCGTAAACGTGTGTACCACATCCTGCTGTGCTCTGGACTCCAGGCCCACAGGCCTCAGCATTGTCCTACGGCTGCACGGCAGCCATGGCAGGGGACTGGACCTCTTCAGAACCCAACTCTGATCATGGTGTGCCTAGTACCTCGTGAGTGAAACACACACACACACACACACACACACACACACACACACACGGAAGGAACAACATTCTGCTGTTTGTGTTTAAAGAGTGGTGTTAAGTAATTCTTCTGCGGCTGTGACCTACGTGCTCTGAAGTCCCCTGGAGCGTGGACACATATGTTATGCATACAACTGCAGCTACTGCCACTCGGTCCCCAGTAGAGAACATTTCCACACCACAGAGGACTCAACAAGATCCTTTTTAATGAGCTATTTGTGGAGACAGAGAATATCACATCCCTTCCGGATTCCAGAGCCTCCGTTCCTGCCCAAGGCCACTGTGCAATGGTCACGTCGCAGACAGGCACTGGCTATCAGCATGCCAACACCCTAGTAACCTTTAGAAAGCCTGTTACTAATAAGCAAGCAGTTTCCAGACAGCATTGAACACAGTCACCAGACAGGAAGTTTGGTCATAATGATCATGACAGTCATTACCATCCTCCGCTTTGGATCACCCCTCCCCCTTACTCCCCCTCTAAGCTCCTCACAGGAAACCAGTCTATCGATGGGGCTTATCTATTAATTAAAGGCTCCAAAGTGAAGACAACAAAAATCCCCACACCAGCCAAGGGAACAATTCTTCCCTAATAGATGTCAGTTTGGTATCCATAAGGCTACACAGGAGTGTAGAGATTTATAACACAGATTTCTAATTACTCATCCAGCATGTGAATTTGCACCCATGTTGCACTCACACACAATTTGTCTTGTTTCTGTCTAACTTCAGTATAGTCCATCATTCCTTGTTCTCAGGAGTCTTTCATCACCTCTGACAGGGAGTTTGTCTTCTGAAAGCATGCACCTGTCTTGTTCTCCGTTGCTTCTGGTCCCCTGCCAGGCCCCTGCAGGAGCTGCCCTGAGGTCTGAGAAGCCAGGGAGCTCTCTGATTACTGACAGAATGTGTGAAATATTGGGACTGGGGGGAAGGAGCACTGGACAGAGAGTCCAGGCCCACGGACTGGAGCATTGCTCTAACTGCACAGCAGCCGCGGCAGGGGACTGGGCCTCTTTGGTTTTCTCTTCTGTTAAATGCTGCCGGCAACATTCCAGGAGCCAGCCATGATGATCTACATCAGTCAAAAAGTTCTGAGCAAAGGCACTGAGTGTCAGTTTCCTAGCATAAGACTGAAGCCGATGGTTTCTACCCTATGAGCTGAGGGAGTTCACAGACACACGAGGACTCTATGTGGCTGAATAGTCAGGGGCAGTGCATAGTCAGGGGCAGTGTCTTTCCTATCTTGATTCATCTCATTTTTGATGACCATTATTGAGTATTTACTGTATACACAGTCCCAGGCAAGGAGCAAGGGATTCATTGGTGCTTAAGCAAAGTCCTATTCCCATGGAGCTAGCTTTTCAAAGTGGGGACAAACTAGCTATAAACGAATAAATGGATCTGGCTGGGGT